CCCCCCCACCCCCCTTCTTTTCAGCTCCATCCACTGTGGCTAATTCTGCCTGCCTGCTCCCTTGGGCGTAATTGATCCCCATATCGTTAACGTACGTGGATCTATCTTGGGGGGAACGCCCACTGCTTTACTGCTAGTCCGCGCTCATTGAACCTTAGAGCCCAGTGAGCTCTGTGATTGTGGCTCTACCACAGCACTATCCGCATGCAACAATGGCTGTAATGTAAACTGTTTTGTTATCTGCATGGGCAGGCCCCACAGATAGACTCGGTGACTGTTTAGTCTAACCATGGGGAGGCGGAAAAAGTGGATCTTGGCGGCGCGGTCCCCCTTCGCAACCATAAGGGGCCACTTGGGCCCCAGGAGGAAGGGTGTGGAGGGGCTGTGTGTGAGCAGCTTGCTGGGGGTCCTCCGGTATCACACCTGGCTGATAGGAGAGGAGGATGCGGCCCTGCTGCTGGCCTCCTCGCAATGCTACCAGCACCACCGAGCTCACTCCCTGTCTTTCTCCTTCTGCTCCTCCTCTGCAGATGGTGGGAGCGAGGACTTGGCAGACCCCCGCTCGCCCAGTCTAGACCCTCACCTGAGCCACGTCGGCCAAGGTAAGCTGACAATGATTTCCCAAATCTGTTTAGTTATTCAAAGTAAATCTCAAAAAGGAAATGAATGACCTCACAGATTCATGAAATACAGTTTTGCCTGTGAAATCTGAGCACCCCAGCAGTAGCTTGTCTTCTCTTCTGTTGCTTATTATGGAGTGTACTGAGCCACACCCAGACGTGAATGTGTATTATGTGAGTGAATGAGAAGCTAAGGTACTGAGGAAAAATCATGCAAGCTCTTTTCCCACCTTTACCTTCTCATTTCCTTTAATACTTTTCTCTTGGTAGTCTCTTTCCAGACTCCATTTCGTCTCACTTAATGTTTTTACAGCAGGAACCCATGGAGGCCTTGTTTGCCGGGGCTATATTTTATTCTTTTTTTTTTTATATAGCAGAAAAGTTTATGACCACTGGAAATGAAGTTATATTTACAGGGAGAGAACTGTATGAATTTTATATTCTTGTAAATTTGTAAATCAGGGGGAAACAGACTATATTCAGTACAAGTTTATTAACAGTGGGAATGTCAGAGCATGGCAGGAAATGTTCTGGGCAATTATAATTTCATATTGCAGCCTTTTTTTCCCCTCCTTGTGCATGTTTTGAACTGAACACCTTGATGAGTAGGTGTTTGTGTTTGTTTCGAGGCATGGAGTGGCCCTTAAACATGTCTCTCATCACAGTCTAAAATAAAAGACCATCATTTCCCTCTTGACGCTTTTGTTGTCTGGATTTTACCGCTGAAGTGCGGCTTTTCCTCCTTTTCCACCCTTCCAGTCTTTGCCCTAAATCACACCTTATGATTTCTGCTTCAGCGTATTGCAGCTTGCATGAGGCTGTTCAGAAAAATAATGTAGTGGGTGTTGAAATTGTGTTACAGAAATTTCAAAACGTATCATCTTTGGCATCACTGCTGATTTTGAGATGATTATCCTTGTGTAAAATGTCAGAGAATATTTGGTTAGTAGTAGAATCCAATATTGAACATGCAGTAAAGGTTCCATATTGTTATATATAGTATATATATATATATATATATATATATATATATATAAAGTAAGATCAAAGCGCTCAGTCTACAGAGAAATGCACACAGCCGGTATTCAGGAACTGAGCCTTAAAAGGAGCCATCAGGTCTTCCTTAACTTTGTGATGTCACAACAAAGCAATCACTGCACTTTACCATGCCCCAAGCCCCGCCCACCTGGACCCACCATCCAACCTTTCCAGGATTTGGTTTCTCTGAGTGTTTACCTGAAATCTGCCATATCTTTATTTGAGTCAGCCAATCAGAAGAGAGGCTCAGAGCCTCCTCTCTTCTGATTGGCACACCAACCTGTTGTTGCTAGAGCTCCAGAGAGAAGCCTCAGAGAGGAGATGTAAAACTACATTGAGATGGTTTTTGGTTCAGTTTAAAACCACAAATATATCTTCTTATGGATCAACACCGGAAGAATGTAAAATATAAGACCTTTTAAAAATGAGTTGGATTCTGATTACTGGTAATTGCAACCAGAATACTAAGTTCCCCCTTGGTATTCACACCAGGCTCTGCATACATGAGGAGAATTTCCATGCGGGAGGATGTAACCACTGCTCTGGCTGTTATTTTTTGCTTTTGCAGTGACATTCCCCAGTGAATGGATGGACCGACTCCAGCACTGCTGGAGCCTCAGAGAGACGAGTGTGTTTGTTATTTCTTCCATGTGTGCAAGTGTTTCTGTACCCGTGTGTTTGCATTACAGCAGCCGATTTGCCCCCATCCTTGCTGTAATACAGGCTTCCTGTGGGACTTGTCACGGCCCAGTGTCTGATAATGGCTTCACGTCTCACTGTGGCTGCTGCTATCTGATGTGAGACTGTTGCTTGACCAGTTGGTTTTACAGCTCCGTCTGCAGGGAAATGGGCAGTCTGAGCCAGAACTGATTCACAAAATGGATGTTGTGTTTACAGACAGCTGGCTGGTTTTTTGGGGTTTTTTTTTTTTTTTTTGTTCACTGGGGGAATGTGAGTGTGTGTGAAGTTTCAAAAAATAAAATCCCCAAGTTGTCATAATTTGTGGTTTTTGAAGCAAGAGAGGAAAAGAGGGTGGGTGAATGATGGAGAGTGGTTGTTTGGGTTCTGTCTGTAATTACCGCTCATTGTGAGAGGCTTTCTTTTTTTTTTTCTTGTAAATAAATACTCTCTCATGGTCATGACTGTGCTCTTTTTTTGGGTTCGTTTAAACACAGTTCATATGGTTAGAAAATCCTCTTTTATTATATTAAAATTGTGGGGTATTGTGTTACTGTTGGGGCTGACGGAGGTCACACAGCCTGTAGATTGTAGCAGTGAATGTAAACAGCACGAGCTGCCTGCAGGGCTGTTCTCTCTTCTGGGTCACGCCAATCTTGTTACACTCAATACTGGTGTTGCAGTGATATCAGAATCCAGGGACCAGGCGCAGGTTCTCTGGTCTGTCATACAGTTTCTACAGAGGGTGAACAAACAGAAACACCTGCACAATCCAATCCAACACAGTCGCCTTCAAATAAACCCCAACCCTGAAACTGAAGACTCGTAGATCGACAGGAAACTGTCTTGGTTTTGATTATTGATTAATTGTTTGTCATATATCAAGCGAAATCACTTGTTAAATCAGTTACTTGAAAGATATATTTTTCTCAAGAGTGTGCCAGCGAGGATATGATCCGCGTTGCATTATTAAGGCGTTTCTGTCATTCTGTCCAGCCTCATTAACTGTTCGGATTAAGTATCAGCTGGATATCAGTGTCATGAAACTGAAAAAATGTCCTTTCATTACTGCATCCATAAATACAGAGAAGACTACATCAGTGACAGCCTGATTCTCACATCCTTACACTCTTCCATGAAGTCTCTTTGTGTTCAATGCAGGAACTGATTCTGCATTCGACCCCAACAGTGTTAGAATGTCATTACTCAAAGGAGAGAGAAGCATCTCATGCTGCTTTGTGTTTCCCTCCCGTCCTGCAGGTGGCAGCATAGACAGCGACTGTGCCTTTGAAGGAGACTACGCCGTGCCCCCGCTCTCTATGACCGAGGGCATGCAGCACATTCGCATAATGGAGGGCGTGTCACGCTCACTGCCCTCCTCCCCGCTGCTCACCCACCAGACCATCAGTGTCAGGCTACAGCCTGTGAAGAAGCTCACAGGTAAAGACACTGCAGTGACAGAGGATTCACACAGGGTGCACCATTTGAATTAGTTAGGCAGTGTTGTCACATTTTTTTTTTAAAGCCTGGTTTTCGGGAAGAAAACCACAGCCAACAGAGATGTGGGCTGAATCTGGTTCAGATTTGTGTTGTACGCACATCCTTGCCTGTAGCTGTCCTCCCCCATGGACTCATTGTACTATTACAGTCTCCCTTAACCCTTCACTGTACAACTGTAGGCAGTGTATCTGATCAGAGAATCACACACTGTGAATTAAAGCAGATTTCACGAGACAAAGTGAAGAGGAGTGGAATGATTTCTCGTCCTAATGCTTGCTGATAAGCAGTAATCACTTACTGTATTACTTACCCACTAATTCTGAGAAGAAACATAAAGCAGGGCCAGAGCTCTGGCCTGCGGCAAACACTGCAATTTCCAATTCTTGTAATCACCAAAGTCCTACCTAATTGACAGTGCCAAGACCAGCTGATGGGCTGTGAGCTGTGGCCGGCTCTGCCTTCCTTTATGGCTCTTTATCTCTCACCACTAATCGTTTCCTTCCACACTCATCTCTGACATTCAGAGAATGTGGAAAATCGCCTCCCCTCTGTCTCCCCATTAACTGGATTATGAGTCTGTGTCATGTTCGCTCTGCTATTATTATGGGGAAGCTGTGGTTTTGGTACACAGAGCAGTCTGGAACGTCCAAGGTTTACTGCCGTACTGGGTTTCGAAACGAGAAATGAAATATTGACATCGCAGTTTCGCCTAATATCAGTGCAGCCTCCACACTGAAGTAAGAGTGGGTGTGAAGGACTTTAAAGCTCCGTTCAGCAGTCACCACTAGGGTGCACCAGCCTCTCAGCTACCTCAGATCATTAACCATTTCTGATATGCCAGGGGGACCATGATTTTTACATCATACAGAATGATTTATGCCCCCCCCCCAGGTCATTCAAACTGTGGGTTTTTAAAGAGGAAACACGCCAAAACTGATTTTCTCTCATTTCAGCTGGGTGTGCCACAACACTGTGGAGGGTTCTGAGTGTGTGACCGGATCCAGCTGAGGCTGTTTTTTGGGGGGATCAGCAGTTGAGAATTAGATTTGAGAGCAAGCCAATCTTATCAGGCCAAATCACACATTCTTTTTTTCTTTTTGCTTCTCTCAGCTGTTTGAGGAGCCATCTTTGTCTGTTCCATTCGTACTCTTCTTTTACTTAATGTTTTGTGGCAGATTGAGCCATGATATGACGGCTACACTTTGGTGTGTGTGAATCAAAATGAATCTTTAGATTGTCAGCTCATGTGAATCTGTAAATGTATATATTCTGTGGTTGTGTGTTGTTGTCTCGATGGCTGTCAAAGAGGAGTTGTTGTTGCTTAAGAATAGCTTGATTAATGATGTGCAGTGCCGCCGCATTTGTACTATTCTTATTCCACAGTTCCACATGTTGGGACAGGTTTCCTAGTTGCACATGTCGTCATTTGCCTTGACATATTATATCAGTCAGGTGCCGCTGGTTGTAACGGCTGCTTTGTATTTTTAGATTTTGACGTGGGGAATTCGGAATTGTCTCGTTTTTAACATGCAGCATGTCTCTGCTGTGCACTTCCTGCAACTCAGCTGATTTGTTTTACCTTTGCAGAATAAGTCCAGTTAAAGTAGTCATCTTAAGTGTTTGTGTGCATGACAGTGAGAGATATCATTTTGGCAGGATTAGCCCTTCACTGTGTTAATCCTTCCAGATGTATGTCTCTGTCACACCACCTATTGGGCATTATATTGTAGTTTGTTGTACTAATGAAGCCACTGGAAAAAAAAAAAAAAAAACAACTTAAATGTTAGATTTTGTCCAGCCAGTGCGACAGATGTAGCACTGCAGGACGGAAAATCTGTGCATCACCAAAGGTGATTTGGCTCCTTTACATACTGCATGTGAGGAGCCCTCCCAACAAGGCTTCCTCTTGTCAATATGACTTTTCACAGCTTATCGGAGCTAAAGCGCTCATGCATCAGCACTCCTGACTCTATGACAACATACACAAAAGCCCTCGAGTGCCTTGAGGTGCCCTCTGTCCTTCAAGTCCTCAAAGACCTGCGTCTGCTCTCAAGTGGCATTGAGCACCAGATTGTTGGGTCTCATCCACCCCAGCTTTCTCACCCTTTAATTAATTCAACTCAGCGCCACTTCCTGCACAGCTTGACAGCACTAAGCCTGTGTGTGCGCTTTGGCGTCAGAGGCCAGAACCCCTCCCATGCCAGAGATGGCAGAGGTGGGAGAAAGACTGGTGACAGAGGAGTGCATTAGAGAGTAAACAGCAGCAGGTCTAAAGGCAGCTGCACTTTGATCTCCCCCGGTGGCCTCCACCTACCGCACCCTCCCTCTGCCCTCCTGTACAGCCCCTGATTGGCCTTAGGCAGACCAGAGTGGTGATGGTGGTGGGGACTTGAGTTATTCAACCTCATGGCTCTGATAGAATGAAAACGCTATGAAAAACGCTGACCTTTTTCGAGAATCACTGAGTTTCCGATTTAATCCCCTCTGCCTGTGTGAAGACTCTCGAGGGGGGCTTCAGATGCTCGAGGGGTCAACTTGTGAAACAAATTGGTGAAGCAGGCGGGAGTCGTACAGTACAGTACTGTACCACCACTGTGTGCTCATTTCAGATCTTTGTGTCGGTGGTCCCTCCTGATTTTCTGTGGACATTTAAGTTCCACTTTTTCACTGCATTTTTTAAAAACATAAGAAGATATTTAGTAGAGCACAAGCAACGCCGGCCAATACAGTATTGATCCCTGGCAAAAATATATTGACTGATATTCTTTTTACATTACAACACATTTTTGAGAAAATAAACCTTATTATCAAAGATGACATACCTAATAAAGACAAAGTTGTATATATTAGTTTTGTGTTTGTGGCTTTCCAGATTTAAGTGTAATCAAGTGAACCCAGCTTAACTCGACCTTCTGCGACTACCTGCTGAGGAAGAGCATGTGAAACAATCGAAAGCTCCAAGTTTAATTTAACTCAAGGTCCACTGACGAGCTCTTTCTGGCGCTTTAGACCACATCTCACAGTCTTCGGGGAGAGATTTTAGATTTACTCATTGGGTCACGTGAGGACAAACAACAAGTTATTACCATGACAACTGCAAGCTTCTTTCTCTGAGGAAGACCTTGAGATGTGGTCTAAAGCTCCAGAAAAAGCAAGGGAGTTTCAACATCATGAAATAACTTTCTTTCTGAATAGAAGGTGTTGTATGATCTGGAGCGATAGAGATTGATATAAAATACTGCCAGCGCCACACACACATATCTCTGCATTTAACACTTGTCAGGTTCTTTCTGCATATTTGCCTGCATACAGTATATACACCAGTATCCACCAGTATACATCAGTATATTCACCAGTATATTTACCAGTATGGTAGAAAGTACATCCACTCACGTACCATCTTTAGGAGCAGTTTGGAGGTACTCTTACTTGAGTATTCACATTTGAGACATTTTAAAGATGAAAATTGTGCCTACTTTTTATTTACTTAGAAAAACGTTTTACTGCACTACATTTATTTGACAGTTATAGTTACTAGTTACTTTGAAAATCAAGATTTATTATATAATATATGATGCCTATTAAATATAAAACATAGTAATAACTCACTGATGGGGCCATTCCGCTGCTTAATAGATGCTTTTACTTTTGATAATTTCCTGTAAGTATATTCAGCTGCTGATACTTACACAAATGTGTGACTTGTAATGAGTATTTCTTTTACAGCGCTATGTTTAGCAGTATCTGCAATGCCCCAGCGTCTCTAATACAGAATAAAAACACAGCGGAGTCCCCGTCACCTTTAATGCAGCTGAACTAACAATAATATTTTTATACTTTATTAAACTTCTAAGGGAAAGTTCCTTTTTAATCCTCCTGCCTTCCAGAAAGGTCAGACTGCACGGTCAATGCCGACTCGCTGTGTCTGAGTGAAGTGCACTTCTGTTTGCCACCACTGCTGCTGCGGTGAGAAGTGTTTTTAAGCATTGTGATGGGACATATTTTTAAGCCCTTTGAATTTGTCCAGGAAAATGTTCATTTTATGAAACATTTTTCGAGCGAGCCGCGATGTAAGGCTTTTCGGTCTCCTGCTGTGCACTCATGAAAACATATGTTCTCACCGGGGCTGTAGTTGCGGAGGAAGAATTCACATTCTTTACAGTGATAAAAATAGCACTAAAGGTTAAAGTCCTGCAGTACAATCAACAAAATCAAAGTACTCGATACAGAAAACTGATTGACTGATTGAGTTGTAGCTTGTTTCGTAACACTTTCATTTTATAGCTTCCCGTAATTCCCTACAAATTAATTGTGATGTAACTGTAGTTTTATCTGAAGGTTCCTGCTGGGAAGAACTATGTAATTTGGTTCTAATTATAAGAAACAGTTCAGTTGGTACAATCCTAATGAATTAATTCCAATGAATTTTTAATGTTACCTAGACAGTCTTATAATAAGTCATTAAGATTTTAGCCGTTCCTTCATTGAAACTTCTTTGCAAATCAGTGACCCAGCACAAACAAATTACACACAGAAAACAGTCACAGATGTGGAGACATGAAATTTGTACCAAATTAAACAGATATATCCTCAAAAACATCTTAATATTACGAGGAAGAAACTGAATCTACTTCTCAGGGTTTTTTTTTTTTTTTTTTTTCAAATATTCCTTCATCTTCATGCTATTTCGCAGATTCCCGGACCGCTGTGTTTATGTCGTCTGTTTTTAGGTTGTTTTTTTTTTTTTTTTAAGAGTTGTCATGAGTGGCAATGAATGCTCACTCTCGCAGTGATGTCTCTGTAGCTGACTATTATGAGTTGTAATCACTGATTGCCTATTTGTTTCTTAATAAACACCTCACTCAAGTGTCAGTCTCACCAGAGACGTCTCACCCACTTTGATTGATTGGCCGTGCTCCACTCCGAAACATTTAAAGGGA